GGCTCAGGCCAAAAGGCCTCACCGTTCGGTTCCAGTGGATCCAAGATCCCTACATTTGGTGGCTCATCAGCCCTGGGATCTAAGGCTTCACCATGGGGCGCTGCGACAACGTCTTCCGCCGCTCCCGCCGCTCCCGCAGCCTCTGGATCTACGTTTGGCAGCGGTAGCCCCTTTGGGGGCAGCTCAGCTACATCTGGCTCTCCTTTTGCTCAGGCCTCCGCAACAAAATCAGCGTTCGGCACTGGCGGCTCTTTCGGAAGCCCTTCCGCCACAACTCCAGCTGCAAACAAATCAGCGTTTGGCAGTGCTAGTACCTTTGGGGCCCCTTCCGCTGCTTCATCGGATGCACCCAAGTCGACGTTTGGTAGCGGAAGCGCCTTCGGGACCCCCTCTGCTACGCCATCGGCTGCACCCAAGTCAGCGTTTGGCAGTGGCAGCGCCTTTGGGACACCAGCTGCTTCCTCATCAGGTCCGGCGTTTGGCCAGCCTTCATCAGTCGGTTTTGGTCAGTCGTCGTCGCTTGGACAGAAGTCCTCTCCATGGGCGTCAGGCGGAGCATCTGGTGCGAACACGTCTGCGTCACCGGCGTTCGGCCAGCCTAGTAGTTTCGGAACATCCGAGAATAAGAGTGTGTTCGGCGGTGCATCAGCAGCCAAACCTGCACCTGCGTCTGGGGGATTCTCTAGCTTTGCTAGCTCTGGTGGCTTTGGTTCCCTTGCAAATAAGGGCAACGAGGGTGGTAGTGTTTTCTCCAGCAAGACTTCGTCAAGTCCATTCGGCTCTGGGGGTCAACTGGGCACGGCTTCTAAGGATACCGCGTTCCCTCCCCCGAGCTCGACTGGCCCGGCGACTAGCAATCCCTTCAGCCAGCCTTTCAAGTTGGGAACCACCTTCGAGGCAGATCCCTCTGCCAAGGATGATGATGAGAAGCCTTCTACCCCTGGCGGATCCTCTCTGTTTGGCAGCAACTTCGGCTCTGCACTGGGAAGCGCCGTGACGAAGACTCCTCCTAAGGAAACGACCACAGAATCGAACGAAGAAACACCGAAGCCCAAATCGGTCTTCAGCCTTGGCCAATCCACAACGCCGAAAGAGACTCCAGCGCCTTCCAAATTTGGTTTCCCACCGACTTCAACATCAGCCCCCAAAAGCGGCTTGTTTGGATTCCCTTCTCAGCCAGCGACTGGAGGTTTGTTTGGTTCTGCGAAGCCGTCAGAGAAGACACCAGAGGTCAAGACCGAGTCCAGCACTCCTCTTCCCCCTGATACGACTAGCAAAAACTCATATCCTCTTGGTGATTCCTCGTCTTCTTCGGGCACCGGAAATGTTCCTTCAGACAGTGGAAGTAAGGCTTCACCTCAAGTGGACAATGCGCCTCTGCCTCCCGATTTCCTCACTACGCCAAAGGCAACGTCAACGAAGGCAGCCAGCGCTGCTCCGCTACCGCCTGATTTCCTCAAGCCTTCAAAGCCACAGGGAAGCACTACTCCGGCCGACGAAGCTCCTCTCCCACCCGACTTCCTCACGCCCAAGCCTGGCAAGACCGCAGTGTCTGCCACGCCTTCGGCGGCGCTTCATTTGCCAGCAGACGACCAGTCCTCGCCCGAGGAGCTTGAACGGCCGAAATCTACTGCACCTGCTGCGGCTCCGGACTTCCTCAAGATGCCCAAGCAATCTTTGTCGTCGGCAACGTGGTCGTCTACCCCTCAGAACACGACACCTGCAGTAGACGATGCTCCGTTGCCGCCAGACTTCCTCACTAAGCCCAAGGAGCCTGTCTTCCCCTCCATTCCGACTGTGCCTGATAGTGAGCATGACACCGATCTTGAGGATGAGGACGACGATGATGAGTCTGAGGGCAGCGGCGTCATTGTCTCCAAGGATCAAAGCCCATCCGTGACGGCGATGACCCCTACGGCGGGCATGACCCCGCAAAGCTCGTTCGGTGGTGTTAGTAGCAGCACCTACTCCGTTCCACGGACGGAGGAAGAGAGACCGCGGGCATCGTTGTTTGGTGACCTGAGCCGCAATGCTCCCATGTTCCCCCGACCGTCCCAAACCAGCCCTCGCTCTCCCAGCCCAGTCCGTGGCGCTGTGCCAGGCCGCATCATGCGCCAGGAGTCTGCTCGTTCGGTTAGTGCCCCGGGCATGGCATCTCAGATTCTTGCAGCCCAGAAAAAGCAGCCTTCGCAGATGGGGTCATCCATTGTCGGGAACAAATCCAACGATGATCACTTCATTGCTCAGCAAAGACTTGCGCGCCAAAGGCGGCAGGCCGAAGAGACCAGGGCGCTGGAAGACGAGGAGGATGATGAGATTCAGAAGATTCTTGCTTCCAAGATCGAGCCCACACTAAAGCTTGATGACTTCATCGCCCACTCAAACGTTGTGCCGTCAGCCAAGGAGACCATCCCGGCCCAGGTGGAGGCAGTGTATCGCGACATTAACTCGATGATCGACACCCTTGGTCTGAATGCTCGCTCTCTTGCCAGCTTTCTCATGGGGCACGACATCGGATTCAAGGCCGGGGGTCGACGCAAGCAAGATCTCGAGAACCCAGACAGTTGGGTTCTCTGCGAGATTGATGAGCTCGGAGAAGTCGTTGATAGATCTTTGGCTCAGGACCTCGAGGATGGTCGTGTTCACGACGTTGAAGAGAAGCTTGAGGCGTGCAACGAGCTCGCCCGCGAAATGTCTCGCCTCCGATCAAAGCAAGATGATCTTAAGAAGATCATTATGGTGAAGACGGACCCCGACCAAGCCGACATCAGCCGCTCTCTGCCTCTGAGTACCGAGCAGGCAAGTCAGCAGAACGAGCTGCGTCGCGAATACACAAACTTCACCAAGCTTCTCGCCGAAGCCGAGGAGGCCTTGACGATCCTGAAGACCAGAATCGCCGCCGCGAACAGCGCATCTGGAAAAGGCACCTCCAACATGCCTACCGTCGAGGCCGTCATGCGGACCATTGGCAAGATGACCAGCATGGTGGAGAAGCGATCCGGCGATATCGACGTCCTCGAGAACCAGATGCGCAAGCTCCGCTTCTCGTCGGTCAACAGCCGCGAGGGCTCCCCGATGGTCACGCCCCAGAGGAACAGCCGCTCCATCCTCTTCTCGCCCGAGCGATCTGCCGTGATGGCGTCGCCCGGAACCCTGCGTAACTCCATGGTGTCCTCCGTGGCCTCGTACGGCGGCCGCGGCGGCACGGGCACGCCTCCGCGCAAGAAGCTGAGCGGGTTCAGCGGGGAGGAGAAGTCGGAGTTGATGGCGAAGCGGGCCAAGCGCCAGGCTGTGCTGAACAAGCTCAAGGCTAATGTCGAGAGGGCGGGCGTGAGCGCGTGGGCGATGGAGGATATTGAATGATGGATTCTGTGGTAAAGGGTGCTGAGGCTGGTGAGTCTTTGTTGGCCCCCATTCCACGGGGTTTAGGAGTTTCGGAATGCAACACGGGGCATATGGAATAGTGAAGCGGAGATAGTGTATGGCATAATGTACAAAAATCAAACATTCATACTAGAGCTGTGTTGAAGATTGTGACTTGCATGAGTTGGTTTTTGGGCTGGAAGGCATCACCTTTATATGACGTGACCCGTCGGTTCATGCCCACTTTCACCTTGGGCCAGTTCCTTAAACGACCCTTCTTTTCTCTCTCGTCTTTCTAAGGTCAATGTCGAGTTCTTTTTGGAAAGTCCCATCGGTATAATGTCGTGTCGTACCTAACGTAGACATGAATGGTGGATAAGCCGCTTGCGCATGCGTGTCGACATGTCTCATGATGTTCAGCTTCCACGTTCTCGTGTATCCACCTAGGTCTTTTCCGTTTTACGTTTCTCCCCTGCAATCCAATGTCAATCAAAATGTGTGCAACACACAGGCGAGTCTCCGTTGCGTTGAATCGGAGTAAGTTGGAACCAATCTGGCGACAAAGTGCAAGCCAGGCGGAGATGTTCGGAAGGTCACCTCCCCTCGGTCGGAGGCCCCCGGTTCGTGGTACCGAAGCGGTAAATCTGCCGAAGATGGACGGAAGATATCCCGGCTGCGGGAAATCGGGACGGGGTGGGAGCGGCCCCCATGGATCCGCTTCGTGTCAGTGAAATGCCCTTGACGTCACTTCTTAAAGTGTCCCTTGAGAACTTTGGGACCATAGGGTTGCTGGCGCAAGTGGAAACCTCCTTGACACTTTGCGATATTGTCCTCATAAAGTGAAAGGTTCCTGGGATGCTCGATGGAAACCTGAGATGCTTTGAATACCTACCTGGGTGATGGACGGGATATCAAAGTCAGGGAACATGGCAGTAGATTAGGGCAGCCTTTCTTTCCCCGGATTTCCACGAATCGCACAGTCCACATGAATAGATAGAGCAAGGTAGATTGGGCGTATTAGCATCGTTCCAAATATGTATTGTGAGTATGTCACTGATTCTCATTGTACATCACCCAAGCACACATTGGCAAAGTTTGGACGTGGAGGCTTTGGGACTGCTTTCGCAGCAAGACATTTGGACTAGGACTGGGGACAAGCCGCGGGCAGCTTATGAAGAGGGAGCCGAATGGAAGTTGTGCAAAAACCATTGAATACCGTCGCTGAGCCATGTCTTTTGAAAACACCTGACATTAATGCCGCCCGATCTACCGTTCGTCGTTATCGCGTTTGTGTAGCCGGCCAGCAACATCAAGTTGTTGATTTTTTTTTCATTTCCCCGTCCTCGAGCCCTCGACAATAATGGCTACTCTTCGCGACCCGTACACAAACGTCTCTTCCATTCTTTTGTCGAATCACGCAGAATCATATTCCCATGTCTCGATGAAAAAAATAGGGTGGGGGAGGGTTCTCGGCGGGTTGTGCGTTTCGCCCTTCATGCGTGGTTGTTTGACGAGTTTGATTTGATGCCTTTTTTTTTAGCAAGCAAGGCACTATGCTCTTGCCCTTGCCTGGACCGATGCAACCAATTCAGAATCCATCCTCAAATACCAACTCCGTCCGATGATGAGTCCGTTTTTTAAATCGACGAGGGGTAGAGCATCACGCGAACGGATGCGCCGAAAGAGCGGGTGGGGAGGGGGTTGGAGAACTTGGCGCGGACGACGCCAGAGTTGCCTGTTTCCTAGTATTAGCTGAGGGCTCGGTTTCGCGGGGAAAGTGTTCGATCGGAGGAGGCTGTATTTACCGTGAGGGCGGGTGACCTTGCCCCAGATGACGCGGATCTTGGAACCGCGGATCTCCTTCTGGGCCTTGTAGACGTAGGCGATCTTCTTGCCGAGGTAGAAGCTGCTCTCATATTAGCCACCGTTTCGTGTCGGGCGTTGCGAGGGGAAAAGGCGTGGATTGGGTGACATACTTGGCGGCGTTGGTGTCGTCAACTCCCTCGATCTTGATCAGACTCGTCTTGGAGTGGGTGACGTGACGGCTACGCTGGTAGCTGAGGTGACGTCCCCTGAAACGCATGTTAGTTTCGATTCTTTCGGTTTGAAGTACATTTCGTCGCGCAAAGTTCGGGTCGCTGAGGCATCGTTTGTTCAGGTGATGGGCGCAGTCGTATAGATCCACGAGTTGCGTCGTCGGTTCCGATGGGTAGAAAATCGATTGGGTGCAACTTACTTGACGTATACTGCAGAGAATCATGTCAGTTGAAGTTCCATAATATGCAAACACCATAATGTGATATCTTCAGAGTGCTCGATGATTGACCATATTCACAGGGTTCAGGGCAATGCGCGGCTCTGTTCGACATTGCAAACTTTTGCAGCAGGGGGATTGGACATCGAATTACTCACATCTGTGACCGGCTTCCGAAGGCATTTTGGCGGTGGTTAGTATGTCGACGCTCCAACCAAAGGGACTCGAGAAAGGAAGGCAGAGGATTGTCGATGGACTAATACTCCGGGCGCTCGTCGTGGGTTGGCGATTTCGGTATGTTCGCTACGGGGGCCGATAGCCAATTTCGAATTTCGTCGGCGCACAATTAGGGCTGCGGAGGCACGTGAGATGACTAAGGTGAGGTGCAGACTCCACCCCACCTCAATTCAATCCATTTTTCGAGATAAGATAAGGTAAGCCATCTATCGTGGCTGGGATCAACAGGTGAGGCGCAGTCAGCCTTCCATCCTTCCACGTTCCGCCCGGGCGTTTCCAAATTTACCATTTCATGGATTTGTGTTTCTCGGCCAACTCGGTGTCAATCCCGCCCAGCTGCCGACCCGGGACCCAGTCTGGCCTGGACGCGTCTTTGCCGCTATTCAGCCCACACCGACTTGCCTCGCACCTTCATTCGCCCGAAGCCTTGCAGCCGCGGCGGATAAGATTTTGTCGTTGCGGGAGAAAATCCGTCAATGACAAATGCAATGATGCACCGCAACGTCCATTTATGTGTGAGCCTCACCGGAGCTCCTCAGCCCAGCACTGGTTACATACAGCAGGCAGTTGCCGGGGGTGGGGGTTGCCGAAGTGAAGGTCGGCCGTAACTGATGACCTATACCAACTTTCAACTTTCGATAGAGAATGGCAAACTCGGAAACAGATGTGCGGCTCGACCGGAGTTCCAGAATACTTCAGGCCATCCGTTGGAGCTTGGACGGCCGAAACCGCGGAGTTGTGAGACAGTTGCAGGGCGGCCTTTCCTAGCAGTCCGACGTCCCAAGTATAAACCACACCCAGGTCCCAAAATCTCGCGGGATTCCCTGAACTGGATCGGCGTCTCTTTGGTTTACACAAGAAGAAGAGGAAGGGGGGGGAAAGGGGAGAGACAAAGTCTGATGGTCATGCAGGAAATGTCTCAAACATCTTCCACTATTGAGGTGTCAACCGAACCACGGATAATCCCACGCAACCTACCAGGAATTTCGGACCTTTGGAATTAGAACCGACGAAGACCGAATCGTGGGGGCCAACCCAAGAGCGACTCCGGAGATGCTTCCAAATGCCCTGGCGGCGGCCGTGGTAATAAATGTCCGGCATAGGTTGAGCCGCCAGCTTCAACGATTGGAACGCCTCAAAGGGTGGGCTTGCGGCAATTTCTGGCCGCCAAACTCTGCCGATTGCCCAGCAGGTCTGCAGTAGAGCTTCATGCCACAGTTGCATTGGCCGGACCGGCAGCGGAATGGAGTTGTGGCAGCTGGCATGGAGACTTCTTGGAAGACCCCGCGGTGACAACATCGGAGCGATGAGAAGGGAAGGGAAGAGAAGGAAACGCACCATAGGCATATCCGCCTGCCCTGCAGCAGCGACAGATATGACTCTCCAATGCAACTGGGCCCGACACGGCGACGATACAGGCCAGAGTGTGACAGGTCTGTCGTTACCTGACGGAGCACCGTTTCACACAGGCTGGCGACCCACGCTTTCCACAGCTTTCCTGAATTCCGCCCTCGCTTCTCAGCTACCCAGACCGATCTCATAAGCAGCAAAGTCCGATCGGGAGCCTCGGCGGTGTCCGGCGTTTGGAAGAGAGGGACTGGGAGTACCGCCGCATCAGCTGGGGCCGGAGATGGAGCCCAAGCCAAAATCCAAATGTTCAACCATCGATGCTGGGCAGTCTTGCTGATGTTGGACCCTTTTTTGGGGGCCCTAGTTATCTGAGGTCATACCTATGTGTGGATGCTATGTTGACATGGTGACTGAGTTGGGGTGGTTTATTGCACGTATACCAGGTACCCAAGCAAGTGGGTGACAAGATCTATTTCCTGCTATTCATCTTGATGAATACCCCTTTCACTACTTGTACTCATATCATTATTACTATCCTTTTGTATTAAAGTTCTTCTTACATACGTAGAGGAATATACTTTGTTCTAAAGATATTGATCTCAGTGATAATAGCGGTGGAACTGCTTGTCGTATGTGTCGAGCGGAAATCGATATTGTCACCTACTTGCCAGGGGCCGCGAATCCTGCACGTCTGCGCGGTGCATTGAAGCAAAGTGTGCGCTGGTGGGCTGAAGTTGCAGCGGCAGGGCTCTGAATCTTTTTTTAAATGTTTTCCCATTTTCCTCTGATGTTTTATGTTTCTGGAGCTCCGGTGCGCTCTGACAGGCGTTGGTCCAACATTTCTGCTGCAGCTTGCATACGGAGGCACCTTAGCTCCCCTTCAGTCGAGGTACCCGATCTGCTCGAGAATCTTTTCATTTCTTTTCTTCGGGCAGGGGTCTGGCATGTACAGTACCTGCTACTGTTCTCACTCGCCCCTGGGTCTTTAGGATTCAAAGAATGGTGTCCCGAACCGGCGGAATAGAATAGCGACGCTTGCATAGATGTTGCACGATGATTGCTCTACAGAACCTATGTAACCAAGACAGGGCAGTCGCTTACTCTGAAATCAGATGCGGCAGAGAGACAGACACTCGCCAGTCCACTTCCAAGTTAGTGGGAGGGATTGGCTTTGTGCTGGGAACCCAATTGCCCACCGTCTAGTCTTTGATGCCGTCAGCGCGCCGGACCAAACCAAGGTGGCATGGGCGTGAATGACTCTGTGCACACTGGAGCTATGCCAGGAAGCTATGACTAGGTATTCGTACATACCGCAAGGTTGAGCCGAGTCGAGTCGAGGGATCTACGGATGCTTGGGATGGTCGCTGCTCAGTCACCACTCATCAGTGATCAGTGCTGATGGGCCGGGGAGCTTAAGACCGATAAATACGTATGAATCTCCGGGAGCGCTCAACATTTTGTCGACAAGACCGAGGAGGTGCCCCTCCTTTCTTCCCCTCCATTGACATCAACCCTGTTCAAGTCCCGCGCCCCAAGTCGGCGAGGAGCAGACAGAATAACCCGGTGACATTGAACGAGGGGGGCCGGAGGAGCCCTTGCCTCTCGCAAAAAAGCACCGAAAACCTGTAGAATAATCCACGAGAGCCCGCTCGCTCACTAATCCTCGCTCTCCGTCTCCGTGCGCTCTCAGCTCCTTGCCGTGTCTCTGTCTCTCTCTCCACACAGCTTGTTCCTCCGTCCAAGTTCAACTCCACGTCCTTGACCGTCCGGCGAGAGCGGGCGGGCGCTTTTCAGGCTTGGGCTGTCTAAAATCACAAAGACAACCTGTGCCAACCTCTGTCTCACCGATGTGCTTCCATTGTATAGGTATCCATAGGCCTACCTTACCGGGTAGGTACCGCTCAGTAATGCCGCCGAAATCGACTTGATCTATCAATTATCCACTTGCCCATCGAGGGAAGCCTACCCACCTTCACCAGAGTGATTCGCTCTCAAGCGCAAAAGGGCGAGCCGCGGTGCGGTTGCGGGACTCGACAACTTCAACAAGTATCAAAGTACAGTACATAGCACGCTAAGGCGGCACCAAGAAGTGGGCTGCAACTGTGAGTAAGCTCCCCCTGGCTCCCGTACTGCTTTGACAAACCCCGTCGGGATGCACTAAACGCGGTATGTTGACCTGATCTCAGGCTAAGTATCTTTTTGGCTTTTTGCCGTCTTGTCTGGCCCAGTCTTTGTACGGTACTCGCTCCCCTGAGACTCTAAACTCCCCCCCAAAGTCCCCCTCTTTTTCCTCCAGCGCCTTCGCGCCGCACCACGCTGCCATGCCCTGCCTGGCGTACCACCACGGTACGGATACCGCGTAGGTACCCATACCTTATCCCAATTCACCCCATCCACACATGCGTCGGGTCCGTTCTGTCGTACCCATTCACCCCTCTACACCCCTACCTCAGAGGTGAGGTACATCTGTGCTTCGTCATTACTAAATACCCCAATCCATCCGTCCCGGATTCCGCCCAGCATCTCTTTCCAAAACCTTCCCAGCTCGCTCTTCTGCCCTTCTGCTTGCTAACTTTGGTTTCCTGCTGTAGAGGCTTTTCTTTCCCCCTTCTTCTCTACATCTCTCATCCAAAGAAACATTCATAGTCGAGCCAGCTTCATCACTGACATCACACACACCATGGCCGATCACACCTCCGCCGCAGCGTATGTCACCCCGCCTTCCTACCCCACCAACATTCCCTTCCTCTGTGCTTTGCGATTCCGGAGGTTCACTCACCATCGCTGTCCGACCTGAAATCCGGCAATTTGGGTTGTGCTAGAATGGCAATGGCCTCGTTCTGGTTTATCGGTGTGCGAGTTTGGCTGACAATGGCGTTAATTACACAGTTCTATGGAGCTCAAGGAGAACACCGTCATCGTTGTTCTCGGTGCTTCCGGAGATTTGGCAAAGAAGAAGACTGTACGCGAATGAGAGCCTCCTCATGGCCGGAAAATCTGCTGACATTTCTATAGTACCCTGCTCTGTTCGGTCTGGTACGAACTTCACGACCGCATTGACATGCCTCTCCCACGGATATGGCGAGCTAACCCGGCGCAAATAGTACCGAAACCAGTTCCTCCCCAAGGACATTAAGATTGTCGGATATGCGCGGACAAAGATGGACCACGATGACTACATCCGCCGCATCAGATCCTACATGAAGACACCCACAAAGGAGATTGAGCAGCAGCTCAACGACTTCTGCAACCTCTGCACCTACGTCTCTGGCCAGTACGACAAGGACGAGTCATTCCAGAACCTGACCCGGCACCTCGAGGAGCTCGAGCAGGGCAAGCCTGAGACTCACCGTCTCTTCTACATGGCACTTCCCCCCAGTGTCTTCACCATTGTCTCCCAGCATCTCAAGAGATGCTGCTACCCCACCAAGGGAATTGCGCGCGTTGTCGTACGTGCCGCCCACGTTGAATCTTAGCCCGTTGCTTATGGAGATGCTGACATGATGACGTCTGCAGATTGAGAAGCCCTTTGGTAAGGATCTTGCCAGCTCCCGGGAGCTTCAAAAGTCCCTCGAGCCCGACTGGAAGGAGGATGAGCTCTACCGCATTGACCACTACCTCGGCAAGGAGATGGTCAAGAACATCCTTATCCTTCGCTTTGGTAACTCCTTCTTCGGCTCCACCTGGAACAGGCAGAACATCGACAACGTTCAGATTACCTTCAAGGAGCCCTTTGGCACCGAAGGCCGTGGCGGTTACTTTGACGAGTTCGGTATCATTCGCGATGTTCAGCAGAATCACTTGCTTCAGGTCCTCACCCTGCTCGCCATGGAGCGCCCCATTTCCTTCGCCTCGGAGGACATTCGTGACGAGAAGGTGCGCGTTCTCCGCGCCATGCCCGCCATCGAGCCCAAGAACGTCATCATCGGACAATACGGCAAGTCACTGGACGGCAGCAAGCCATCGTACAAGGAAGACGATACTGTCCCCAAGGACTCGAGGTGTCCCACTTTTTGCGCCCTTGTCGCATACATCAAGAACGAGCGCTGGGATGGCGTTCCGTTCATCATGAAGGCCGGCAAGGCCCTCAACGAACAAAAGACTGAGATTCGTATCCAGTTCAAGGACGTTACCTCGGGTATCTTTAAGGACATTCCCCGCAACGAGCTTGTCATGCGCATTCAGCCCAACGAGAGTGTCTACGTGAAGATGAACTCCAAGCTGCCCGGTCTCAGCATGCAGACTGTCGTCACCGAGCTTGACTTGACCTATCGCCGCCGCTTCTCTGACCTCAAGATCCCCGAGGCTTATGAGTCATTGATTTTGGACTGCCTGAAGGGCGACCACTCCAACTTTGTCCGTGACGACGAGCTGGACGCCAGCTGGAGAATCTTCACCCCTCTGCTACACTACCTGGACGACAACAAGGAGATCATCCCCATGGAATACCCTTATGGTTAGTCTTCGAAGTGTGTACGCTCTGTAGCCAGCTCTTTCTAACCATTTCCAGGTTCTCGTGGCCCCGCTGTCCTTGACGACTTCACCTCCTCCTATGGCTACAAGTTCAGTGATGCGGCTGGATACCAGTGGCCTACTACCTCTGCTCAGGCTGCCCCGAACAAGTTGTGAGTAAAACTAAGTGCGCGCCTTAGCGTAGCTATCATACATAGAAGAATTGATTCTAAAGGATGTCTACGAACAGTTGAGCAAACCCCTCCACCCCCGCTACACCAACTACAAAAACCACACTTTCGGCCAATGCACCCGCGATATCCCACTGCGCAGCCTATGGCATTCGCAACGTATCATAACCATCGAAGGGAGGGCATAGATTTCAAATGAAGACGACATAAATAAGGGAAGCCAGGAGGAAAGCCCACGGGTGAACACTGGTAGGACGATGGACATTTCTTCGCTTTGCTTGGCCGGTTCAGAGAGGATAGAAAATCAATGAGATTCACGTTTCTAATGATCAAAACTGTCTGTTCCTTACACTTGCTATGATTGACGAACTCTCGTTCCAAGAACGGTTCGTATCCGAAAGGTATACCAAGACACGACTGTCCTCGACAGAGCCGGGGTGACGAGGGTACTCACTTAGTAAGGTACCTAGAGCAACGAGTCAGTCACTGTTGAAAGCGTAGGTATTCATAGGAACGTCATTGTGGGAAATCTTGAACACATGCAATCAAATTTTGATGCAAGGAGCCAGCCCAGAATGCAGCTTACAGCAATGTTCGATCTCTAGGCTTGTAACTCAAGAAAGGTACACGGATTTGGTCCTGGAAGGTGCAAAATGACAATCGTGACTTTACAGCTGGAAACGATATATGAAGGGTACATGCCAGGATTAAGTGACTAGCTAGGTGAGGTACCGAAGTATTTCGAGGAGCTCCTACCTCAAACAAAGGTACGGTAGTTGATAAGATAAGGTTAATCTGCTAAATAGGTACGGTTAAGGTGGTTTGCGGCTTGGAGTTGCGCGGTGGACCCCATGGCTGTCCTATTGGCGGAGATCACATGACACCCCGACCCGGATGAACAGCAGGGACAGTCGACTGCTGGCGCCTGCCCGTAGGCGTGGCTGTCCGAGAAAAATGCTGAAGGCTCGGGTTGCACCGTGACCGATCTAGTTCCCGCCCTGCTTGTATGCCTGGCTGCACGCTCTCACCATCGCATCACCACTTGCCCAATTACCTAGCAGTCAACAAACTGAACGTTTTTGCGCGGCCCGACTTCCACGACCCTTCGGAGACTCCGTATGCACCGAATACCTCGACTTGCGAATTACTCTCCACGGAAATCAACGATACAATTCCGACAACGATCTCGCGTCCTCCCCCCCATCGACGATCGACGCTAGGTCGATTCCTCCGATTGACCACGACCTCATCGCGTTTCAACGACACCACACTTGCGCCTATTACCTACGAAACCTCGGCGACTGAACTTCTACTACGTGTATCGCGTCCCTCTTTGAAACTTCGGTTTCTTAGTTGATGCGATTGCGCTGTCCTGCTGGCTTGCGCATCCGGCGCCGATGACTGAATCCCGTCTGACAGCCACCTCGGACCGGGACCAGCATTTCATTATCCTCCCTTGCTCATCTGGCACAGCTTCACTCAGCATCTGTATTCCATAATCTATCGAACAGGCAAGAATCAAGTTCATATTTTGGGGGGCCGGTCGTGACGCAGGCAACGAGGCAGGAAGGGCCCTCCCCCGATGCCTGGAATCGTCAACATGGAGAATGGGGGTTTGAACGGCACACATCCGAACCATGACAGAAACCTAAAGGTCAACGGCGCCAATGGTGGAACGATGGAAGGACAGCCGAATAAGGGCAAGGCGCCCGCCGACACCCCTGGGGCCGGTAACATGGCGAATGGCCTTTCCGGCGGAAACTCTCAAAACGACTCCCAAGGAAAGCAACAATCGCAGATGTCGACCGGGTTGACATTACAGCAAAAACCGAGGATGAACGACCTACCCGAGGAGATTGTGCACATCACCCAGGGGTACATTCCACTATCGACGATTGTCGCGCGACTGGCGCAACACACCCACGAAGAGCTACAGAAGACCGTCATCGAAATGGGTTCCATCAAGTGGGCACCTCCTGCAGTGAACGGGAATACACCCCATGGCAGCGATGCACCTGACGATATGTCAGAAGGAAATAAGAGAAAGAAGATGCTCATGATCAAGTTTGCACAAGACGCACATTCCAAATGGGTCAAGGCCCTCGTCATTACGGACTGGAGCAAGAACGCGGAGGCTGTTAGCAAGCTTATCGACATCAAGGCACACATTGACTCGAAACGTATGCTATATGACTACTCCCAGGACTTGCTGATTGACCTGAAGCGTTCGCTGGACAACGCCCGACTTCCCAACCCTGACTTGAAGACGGCTCTGCAAGTCCTAACGACTGGTGAAGCATCATGGATTCCAGAGGTAGGTTATCCGGATCTTGTCGAGGCGGAGATGGGAGCTAATCTGTCGTAGCCTGGATATATACCACCACCGCCATTGACAGCAGAAGAACAGCTGAAATGGATCGATGATCTTAACACGATGCTCTCTCTTCGCCTGAATCTGGAAGACTACGACAAAATACCACATCAGTTCAAGAATTACAGTATTCAGTCTGGTAGAGTCACTTTCGTAGTGAAGGGCGAGTTTGAAGTGGATTTGACAATCGCCGATGAGGACTTTACCCAACAATTCTGGTTCATTGACTTCCGATTCGCCTTTTCGCCATCGTCAAGCAAGCTCTCTGACGCGCTGGTGTCATTCCTCGAAGCACACGTTAACGAAATCCTCGGAAAGGAAGGTCTCGAAGGATGCTACCGATTCCTGCACGAGTTTGTGCTCACGCACAAGATCAGCGAGCTCAGGAGACAGGCCATCGAGCTGAGTCGAAGCACATGGACTGGCACGTTGATGGTGGAACCTCTCAACAGAGCCTTAGCCCTACAATACTGGACCACTCGATACGGAGCCAACGGACCAAAGAGCTGGGTCATGATTGCAGTGAACAGTGCCAAGAAGACGAATGGGCAGACTGATTCGAAGCACTCCAGTCGATTAGTTGCACGCTGGTACCGGGACAACAAGGAAGTCAAGGATGTGTTCCTGCCATTTGATGTGGACAACTTGTGTGCCGAAGACCTGCTCAAGACAGCAGTGGCTAGACACGTTGAGCACATTCTGTCATCCATCCACACCAAGCTTCTATCATATCCTCGGTTCGTCAACAGGGAGTCCTCGATGACTTTGACAGTCTCTCAAATGGAGCCGATGGAATCATCCTTGAGCATGCAACTGGGCCCTCGGGATAACGTTACACTCCTTATACAACCCATCACTGGATTCGCCGCGATCAAGCCTCACGCGAAATATACACTACAAGGAGAAACCCGCCTCAATTACGGCGGCAAAGACCCCGCAGAGGACGGAGTTACCTGCCTGGAGAACATCAGATGGGGCTATTTCATTGAAGAGTGCAACCGCAGAGGACGAAGTGTGGGCTGGAAGACTTGCAAGAGTCCCCTTGGTGGCGAAGACATCAAGCAAATCATTCGGACTCGTGAGGCATTCCAGACTATTTTCATGCAGCGCCAGAGCCTAGATCAGAGCTGGTTCGTTATGGTGTCCTTGAGCCTGAGTGGCGACGAATGGTGGCTGCTTGATATGTAAGTTTACACTTCTGAGAGGCACTGGATCAGCGATACTAACGATGATAGTGACCGCAACACGCCAACACGTCCACTCAAGTTTCATACCAAACTACAACTCACTCGAGGGCAACCAGATCTGGATGATGCCTTCTGGTCTCACCTGACACTCTTTGTGACTGGCATCGTTCAACAGGCTACTGACTTGGAACACTTGCATAAGGGCAAGATCCAATACTTGATGAAGGAGTCTACTAATTACGCACTGCCACAACAAGTACGGCTTCCGTCTCTGGTCATCAAGCTGTCCCAGATCTTGGGGTCATCAGAATCAGGCGCACAGGATGGCCCCAAAGACACCTCGAGGCAATTGGGCAAACAGGACTCAGCTTGGGCGCAGGATCAGGTCGAAGTGAAGTTCAAGGGACTTCAAACTCGGCCTACAGCCGCCCAGGGCCAAGATGACAATGCTCCCTCGGCTGTGGAGGTGCTTGAGAACGCCGAACTCAACACTATTGTTGACGCCATTGTCCGGGTCAAAGACAAGACTAAATTTGCACTGCTCAAGGGCCGTATCGACCGCAACGTCTCCTTCAGTCCCAAGAAGGGCGAATTCATATTCCGCATACGCTACTTGGTTGGGCAACCTATTCTAGAGACTTTGACAACCCATGTCAAGTCTATTGATCGCCTTGTAGGCTTCCTCGAGGCCATGAGCAAAGCAAGGGGTTCTGTTAAGTGCGAAAGAGTCAGCCTTCAGCAGGTCGTCTTCACGTACAGCGATATCACAATGCCAGGCGAGAGCGATCAGACTCAGAAGCCAAAACGCTGGAGGGTATCCCTCGACTTGGCTAAGAGTCAGATTAGAATGTCCCTGGAGAAGGGGAACCCTCACGCGAGAGTTCTTGACCTACTCACGACGTTGGTGAATACCCAGGACGGACTCAGAGTCTTAATCTTTTATATGCCGGTACTCCTCCCAGTTCTGAGGACCCTCGAGAGTATCGAATCGAAATGGGAACCCCTCGAAACAACCAACCAAGGTCGCGTCGAGATCTTCACCAGGTCCATCGACTGGATTGCTCTTCGTTATACTCTGCCTAGTCCGACAGGCGAGCCTCGGGTTTTGGTACTTGAGATACGAAGCAGGATGCGGCGCAACGAGATGTGGTGGAATTTCACTCGTGCAACACAGGGCGTGGTGGACCCTGACGAGGAGTTCAACAAGATCCTGAAGGGAGTTTGGGAATCTCACGGCAATGGCTGGAGAGGTCTTAGGACGAGCGCAGCCTCGCGGCCTGGCCCAAGCACCATGGAGTTGCTCACGAAGCTTGACGACCTGGTGCGAGCATACGCTGTGACTGGTGATGTTAGCAGCGCACCATCAACCGAGGGCCAACCGACACAAACCAGTCAATCAACTTCAATCAATCAGTCTTTTGGAACGCA